CGATTCTTTGCTGGGTCTCCTCATCCCAGTCTGGCACAGATTCCTGGGATCTGCTGGCCAGTTTCACCTTCACCCAGGCTGTCAAAAAAAAAAAAAAAAAACACCCACAAAAAATCAAGAAGAGTTTTCCTTTTCCCATCTTGTGGAATGAAAACAGTTTGATAACTTAGAATCAAAGCTGGGCATTTCTAATTACCACAACCTTACAGAACAAAGCCCACTGTGGAATTCCAGAGCTCATGGACTGACCAGGAATACAATGTAAATGTATTTGTAAATGCAATGTAAATCACCAGGAATACAGTGGGATTTTGGGACACTTCCTTGGAGAGGTGGATCCAGGACCTTTCTCCTGGTTCCATCATCCCTGTAGTCTCAGATATAAATCAAAACTCACTCACACCATCCCTTCCCGAATTCTTGACCTAATAACCCATGTGGATAAAATATCAATGTCAGGCAAAGGGTTTTCCAAGTGGAAAAGCCCAATTCTATCCCATTTTGTGCAGGAGTACTAAAAAATACCCACCATTTAAGTCCTGTCCTATTAAAGCTTCTTATTATGACATAATCACCTTTAAAATCAGGGCCACAGACACAGATCCTCTCACATTCCACACCAAAGCAACCCCTTAAACATGAACCTAAATAAAGATTTAGTATTTTAATAATAAAACACAAGAATAAAACACGACAGGGATGTTTTCTCACCCCGGATTTTCCTCTCCTGCTCCTCTGCATTCCTGAGGATTTGGGCTGCCTCTCTCCCAGGGGATCCGCTCCTCAGGAGGTTCCTGACACGGACAGCCAGGGAATCCCCGCTGCTGCTGCTGCCACTGCCCCCCAGCCCCGCTCCCTTCATCCTGGCACCACCAGCTCCACTCAGGAATCCTCCTGTGCCAGGGGTGCCGCTCCCTGGATTCCCCAGGAGATTCCTGACACGGGCAGCCAGGGAATCTCCGCTGCTGCTGTCATCGCTCCCACCGGCGCCTCCGGCTTTGCTTCCGGCTCCATTGGATCGGGAGGTGCTCGGGAAGGCTCCTGGGATATCAGTGACGCTTCCAGGGGGCTCTGAGGAAGGAGGGTTCCCCGGCTCCGAGGTTGTGGCAGCGCTGCCCTGGCTGCCGGAGCTGCTCCGTGCCGGGCCCACCCGGGCGCGTTGGTTTCTGTCGGTGGTGACGCTGCTGCAACCCTCCGGCTCCGACCTTCCCGCGGATTTTCCTGCCCTGAACTCCTGGCATACCTCCTTCACCCCTTCACCCCGGTGCGAGTCGACCTGCAGAGGGTTCTCCCACCTCACGTTACACGTGTCGGAATTCCAAGGGTTTATTCCCGACCCTTCTTCTCGCGCGCTTTGCCGGGTGGCGGTCTCATCCCACGACAGCCTCTTCTGGGACTGAGGGGTTCCGTCCTGCACCAACCTGGGATCTCTGGGATCATCCTCCCGTCTCATCAGCGCCAGGGAAGACTCTCTTCTTCCTCTTGAGGCCATGGAAAAGGCAGGATGGCACCACCTGGCACTCAAATCCTCTGCCTCTGCCAGGAGCTCCCGGATGTCCCTCAGCACACCCGATCCCAGCCAAGAATCACTGCCTTGCTCCTTGTTTCTCTCACTTCCCACACCGGAGCTCTGGGATCCTCTGTCAGCTTCCATCCCGTTTTTAACTCCAGCCAAAACACCAGCAGTCCATCTCTGCAGGCTGCTGTCCAAAATTCTGGGCTCATTTTTAGCAAGAACCTCAACACTCTTCGAACTCTGCGTGTCGGAAGAGACGAGTCTGGAGACAGCAGGACACTCTGGATCCTGTGTGGAAATCGGAGCATCCATCTGCAGCTGGTGGCATGACACACTGCACTGGCTCCCTGGGCTGTCTCCAAAAACCCTTGGGAAGCTGGGAGAGAGCTCCCGGGGCGACAGAACATCAGAGCCAACCTCGGACTCCGCGGGAATGGAAATGCTGAGAGCGGAAGTGTCGGAGTCGAAACCCGTCGGCACCACCTCAAATGCTGGCAACAATTTACCTACAAGGACACAGGACATTCATTAATTAGTTCCCCGCATTGGCAAAGACTAATTTATCTTGTACTAAAGGGTTTGTAAAGAGAGAGGGAAGAATTCAAATACTGGAATACACAGGAAAAAAATAGTCTGGTCCCAGTTGCTTCATCTCCGGATACAAAGCATTTCCTCCTTAAAAACCTCCTGGGAAAAGGGAAATAAAGGAGGGAAAGGGAAATAATAAAGGGGGAGAGGGAAATGATAAAGGGAAAAGGAGAAATAATGGGGAAAAGGGAAATAAAGGGGAAAAGAAGATCCCGTGTCACTGCAGTGGCCCATGGTCATAATTCCTCAGGGAGAAGGTAGGTTTTCCAAGGTTTTAGTACTTTTCCAATGCCAAATACCTCATATTGGACAGAGGGGAAGATCAACCCACATGAATGGAAGAGAAAAAACACACTTGGCACCACCAGGCCAAGAGCAACTTCCCAGGTGAGTGAATTCCTGTGTTCCCCAAAGTGCCCCTTTCCCATACCTTGTGCCTTTGGAGGGATCCTGGCCAGGGTGTCCAGGGAGCCTTTGACTGTCCTGAGCTCTGACGGGGAAAACTCAACTTCCCTGATGGGTCCTCGGGGTAGAAAAGGAGCCAAAATGGTCCCAGGGGACTGGTCAATGCCGAGGTTCCGGAGATATATCTGGCAAAAGAAGGAGTAAGAAACACTTGGAGAATGGCAACGGGTTCTGGAGTTGGAGAAGTTTTTATTCCGGTGCTCGGGACGCTGCAGGAGTTGGATAACTCGGAGCAGGTTGGTCAACTTCACCCTCACCTGTTTGAAATGACATTTCCCAGCTGGAAGGAGAACACAAAGGTTTGGGTTCAAAACCTGCTTCCCTCCCCAAACAGTTGGTGCACAGGAAACTTTATCAGATTGGAAATTCCTCTTTTTAGAGGGTAAGTTTGTTCCAGGCAAATAGTTGGGAGCACTTTGGTCAGAGCTGGTTGAAAACCACCGTGAACCAGCTTTTGTGGTGGTGCTGAGGGGAACCAGAGAGTCAGGGAATGGTTTGGGTTGGGAGAGACATTAAAAACCACCCATTGCCACCCCCTGCCATGGGCAGGGACACCTTCCACCAGCCCAGGTTGCTCCAACCTGGTCTTGGACACTTCCAAGGGATTCAGGGGCAGCCACAGCTTCTCTGCCCAACCTGTGCCAGGGTCTGCCCACCCTCCCAGCCAGCAATTCCTTCCCAATATCCCATCTATCCCTGCCCTTTGGCACTGGGAAACCATTCCCTGTGTCCTGTCCCTCCATCCCTTGTCCAAAGTCCCTCTCCATGTTTCCTGTTGGCTCCTTCAGGTCCTGGAAGGTCACAATCAGCTAATCCCAAACCCTTCTTTTCTCCAGGCTGCACCATCCCAGCCTTTCCTCCCAGGAGCTGCTCCATCCCTCTGATCAACTTGTCGTGGCCAAGGGGCAGAAAATCACCTTCTGCTGTGCAATAACTTCATTAAAATTAAACTGATTCATTTAGAGAAGCCAAAGGAAAATCATCCTCAAACTCTAAAACTGTGATATACCAGAGAAAAATTTTGTGAGGACAAGCCCAACTTTCCCTGGAAAACACCAGGAGATTGTCAGTTCAGACACACACAGCAGCATTCCCTGAATTAATGGATTTTGAAGGAGTCTCATGGAGTTTAAGAACCTACCAAAGGTCGTTTAGAACCTTTTGAGGAAGCAATTTTTCTAAGTTTACACACAGGTATCATCTGCATTAAAAAAAAAAAGAACCCAAATCTTTCCTTCATTTAATCCCCTGCAGAAGCAAATTGATTTCAACTCATCCATCCCATGTCCTAAACATGCCAAGAAAAATGAAA